GTTTTTTTTTTTTTTTAAACTCTGCCTTCTTTCAAGATTTTTCTCTTTGTCTTTGGTTTTCTATAGTATGAATGTGACTTCTTACTTCTTAGTCTTCTAGGTGTAGACTTCTTGGTATTCATACTGATTGGTGTTCTTTAAGCTTCCTGGATATATGATTTGGTATTTGTCGTTGATTTTAGAACATTCTGTCATGTTTTTACAGAAAACATTTCTTCTGTTCCTTTCTCTCCTCTGATATTCTCTTTATACGTGTCTTAGACTTCTTGTAATTGTCCCATGGTTCTCGGATATTCTTATTTATTTTTTTCCAATCTCTTTGCTTTTTAATTTTGGAAGTTTCTATTGACATATCTTCAAGGTCGCTGATTTTCTTTCCAGTCCTCTGATGAGTTTCAAAGGCTTTCCTTATTTCTGTTAGTATTTTTTTTTAAAGTTGTAGACAGACACAATACCTTAATTTTTTTCACTTAGTTTTTATGTGGTGCTGAGAGGATCACACCCAGTGCCTCACCCATGCTAGGTGAGGGCTCCACCAGTGAGCACAACCCCAGACCATCTGCTAGTGTTTTTGATTTCCGGCATTTCCTTTTTCTTTCTTAGAGTTTCCTTATCTTTGTTTACATTACCCATCTGTTTTTTTCATTAGAGTCCTTAGCGTATTAGTCCTAGGCATTTACCTTTTTTGATAATTCCAAAATCTCTGCCTTATTGCAATCTGGTTCTGATGCTTGCCTTGTCCCTCAGATCTTTCAGATTTTGTTCTGCTTTTCAGCTTGCCATTTGTTGTTTTTTTTTTTTTTTTTTGCTGAAAGCCAAATGTGATATTTAGGGTAAAGGGCTGGGGCTGGAGCTCAGTGGTAGAGCGCTCGCCTGGCATGTGTGAAGCACTGGGTTCAATCCTCAGGATCACGTAAAAACAAAATAAAGGTACTGTGTCCTCCTACAACTAAAATAAATAAATAAATAAGAAAAAAGAAATGAGGTAAATAGGCTTTCTTTCTTTTATTTGTTCTTTTTTAGATATATATAACAGTGTATTTTGGCATATATAAATAAATGGAGTATAACTTCCCAATCTTGTGGTTGAACATGATGTGGAGTTACACTGGTGGTTTATTCATGTTTGAGCATAGGAAAGTGATGTCCGATTCAGGCTACTGTCTTTCCTATTCCTCTCTCTCCTCCCTTCCCTTCATTCCCCTTTGTCTAATTAGTGAACTTCTATTCTCCCCACTCCACATTATTGTGGGTTAGCAGCCACATATCAGAGAGAACATTTGGCCGTTGGTGTTTGGGGATTGGCTTATTTCACTACACATGATGGTCTCCAGTTCCATCTAGATAACTAGGCTTTCTGATGAAGTTTTACATTCATCTATTCATGAATTAGGCTATGGAGAACACCAAGGTAACTGTCAGGATGTGGAGAATTGAAGCCTATGAAGTTGATGTAGCTTGTGCCTGTGTTGTTATCCTGTAAATTTTGACATTGTGGAGTGACACAAACATGTCCAATCTACATTAATGGTATAGCTCACTCTAAACTTTTCCTTAGTGTTCTTGTTTTTATCTTCCTTTGCCTGTTTGGGTTTCCCTAGAGATGACTTTTTTTTTCTCTCTCTCTCTTTTTAATAATACTAGGGATTAAACCTAGGCCTTGCACTTGCTAGGAAATGCTCACCTCCAAGTTACAGCTTCAGCCCTTTTTTAAAAATTTGAGATAGGGTCAACCTAAGTTGCCCACACTGATCTCAAACTTGTGATCCTTCTGCTTCAGCCCCTGGGTAGCTGGGATTGTAGGTGTGTACCACCATGCCTAACTAGGGGCTTCTTAAATAATGTCTGAGGCTTCCTGTTCTTTCAGTTACAATTCCCTGTTGTAATTCAGAACTCTGGTGATGTTGTAGTGAAGATTGTGGGGAGCAGAAGCATTCTATAATCTTGTGATTGGGTCTCAGTCTTTCAGTGAGCTTGTGTCCTTTCACAAATACCTTTTCAGGTGAGCCAAGAAGGCAAGAGGGGCTGAAATTGAACATAGCTCTCTGTCCCTGCATCCATTAGGCTCCAATAAAACTGAAGCTGGTTAGGCTCTGGCAATTCAGCTTCCTGATTGCAGACCACTTTTAAGGAGTACGGAACACTTGGGGCTCATTTCCCAATTTTTACCTTTCCCTTTTCCCTGCAAGAAGCACACCCTCAGAGAGGGGACTCTGTATCTCTCAAGCTAGTTCATGGCAATTAATCTGGTACCATTTAAGTGTTCCTACCATGCTTCATGCAGTGGCACATACTTCTGGCAAGCTCTTATTCTCTGCATTCACCTGTGTCTTTGTACTTTTCTTTCTAAAAAATTTTTTTTAGCATTGGGGTTGTTGCTCATTTTTTAAAAAATATTTATTTTTTTAGTTATAGGTGGACACAGTTTTATTTTATTTATTTTCATGTGGTGCTGAGAATTGAACCCAGTGCCTCACATGTGCTAGGCAAGCGCTCTACCACTGAGCCACAATCCCAGCCCCGTCTTTGTAGTTTTCAAGACAGGTATTTGCTCTGTGACCTCAACTCTGGGATGTTATCAAAGAGGAGTTGTTGATTTTCAGTTTTCTCAGCTTTTTTTTTTCTTATAAGAATGGAAGCAATGACTTTTATATACTCTTTATACATCATTCAGGAAATTGGAGTTTCTATTTTTATTAAATATTTATTTTTTAGTAGTAGCTGGACACAACACCTTTGTTTTATTTATTTATTTTAATGTGGTGCTGAGGATCAAACCCAGGGCATCGCACGCGCTAGGCAAGCATTCTACCACTGAGCCACAACCCCAGCCCGATTAGAGTCTCCTTTCTACAATTAAAAACTGTGTTATTTCTTTTTTCCTTGCATATTCTCACACTTATGGATATTTTTGCTTGGTTATGTGTTATGAATGTTTTCTCCAGTTTTCCTTTGCCTTCTGACATATGTCTTTCTGGGGGGGGGGGCGGGAGTTCTTAATTTTAAAGTAGTGAGTTTATTAGTCCTAATATCTGATCTTTTTTGTGACCTTTTGGATAATTCTTTCCTAGTCTGAGCTCATGAAGATATTATTCTGTTGTGTACACCCTCCTTTTGCCTTTCATAAGTTGTTTTAGTCTGCTTTGTTGCTGCTGCAAATAAAAGGACCTGGTCAGAACAACTGTAGAGGAGGAAAGGTTTATTTAGAGACTCAGGGTTTCAGGGGCCTCAAACCATAGACAGCAGGCTCCATTCCTCGGGGCTTAAGGTGAGGCAGACATCATGGCAGAAGAGTGTGGCAGAGGGAAGCAGCTTGCAGGATGATCAAGAAGCTGAGACAGACTCTACTCTACAGATATAAATAAGTACCCCAAAGCCACGCCTCAATTCCCACTTCCTCCAGCCACACCCTGTCACTTCAGTTACCACTCATTTAATCCCTCTTTTTAGATTTTTCTTTAATTCTCTAAATGATATTCCATTATTGTCTCTGTAGGATTCTTTGACATGTTTTGTAGAGTTAGGTAATTGATTTCTTTTATATCTATTTTAACAAGTCTTTCGAGTTATTTTTTCTCAATTTTTTTGATCTGATATTTTAAAAATTAACTTATTTTTCTGACCTGACCTTTAATTCAGTAATATTGCTAAATTCAGTTATTCTAGTTGCTTATCAGATATCTTTGTTGGGGGTTGTTCTGTGTATTCAAGTATGTCTTTTGAAAATAATTACATTTTCATTGTTACTGGTCTACCATTGTTATTTCTTTCTTTTTCTTTTTCTTTTTTTTTTTTTGCATTGTCATAGACCCCTGGGATTTGCCTGTAATCCCAGCTACTTTGGAAGCTGAGGCAGGAGGATTGCACATTCATTGCCAGCCTGGGCAATTTCAAAATATTAAAAAGAGCTGGGGATGTTGCTCAGTGGTAAAGTACTTGCCTAGCACGTGCAGAGGCCCTGGGTTCTTTCCTTAGCACACACAAAAACTACCATGCTTTAGGCCAGGTATTGGCATGTGTTTCTATAATGGCTAGATAGCAATATTCTGGGTTTTGAGAGCCATAAGATTTGGGTCATAACTGCTCTGCCATTGTAGCACAAATGCTGCCATAGGTAATCTATCAGCAAAAAACCATAGCTGGATTCCAAGAAAACTTTATTTATAGACACTAAAATTCAAATTGTATATAGTTTTTATATGTCATAAAATATTATTCTTAGCTGAGTGTGGTGGCACATGCCTATAATCCCAGTGGCTCAGGAGGCTGAGGTAGGAAGATCATGAGTTCAAAGCCAGCCTCAGCAAAAGTGAGATACTAAACAATTCAGTGAGACCCTGTCTCTAAATGAAATACAAAATAGGGCTGGGGATGTGGCCTAGTGGTCGAGTGCCCCTGAATTCAATCCCTGGTACCCCCTCAAAAATATTATTCTTTGGGGTATTAAAAAGAATAGGGGCCTAGGGATATAGCTCAGTTGGTAGAATGTTTCCCTTGTATGCACAAGGTTCAATCCACAGCACCACAAAAAAAAAAAAAAAAAAAAAAAAAGAATAGGAGTATAGCTCAGTAGTAGTAGACTACTTGTCCAGCATTCATGAGGCCCAGGGTTTAATCCTAAGCACTGCATAAACAAACTCTTTAAAAACCATTCTTAACTTGTACAAGAACAGACAGTGGAGTGGATTTGGCCCTTGAGTCACAACATGACATCCCTGCTTTAGGCTATACTCGTGTATTTGTATATCTAAACTAAAAAAATATGTGCTTTGCTTTTATTTTTAGTTACAAAAGTAGCACATGCTTGGTTTAAAGCTTAAAGCCCTTCAGAAATACCATACAGAAAATAAAAGCTACTCCCTCATAAATCTCACACTGTGATAATTGCTTAAAATTGTTTGGAATATATTATAAAATTGCTCTTACATGAATACATTAAATTTTATAATATATATCTACTGATCTGCACTGAATTGATTTTATGCTGTTTTATTTTCAAGGTACAGAAGGCAGTTGAAGAAGAAAATTGTTGCTTTGGGACTATTGATACCTGGTTGCTATACAAGCTCACAAAAGGTAAAGGTGACCTGATAGATCTATCTCAAGTAAATGAAATTAGACTGAGAGAGGATTGCCTACAATAGAGTAGAAATTAACCTTTTCCTTCCTATATCCCAGACATACTACTCTTTGATGTCCACTACATGTTGTGGTAAAGCTAGATGTATTGCAGATCTGTTTTAAAAGGAGGATGGTTTTAAAATTGTGATGGCCAGGCACTATGGTGCCCACCTGTAATCCCAGTTTGAGAGGCTGTGACAGGAGGATCACAAGTTTAAAGCCAGCCGCAGCAACTTAGTGAAGCCCTAAGCAACTCAGGAGACCCTGTGTCTAAATAAAATGTAAAAAAGGGCTAGGGATATAGTTCAGTGGTTAAGTGCCACTGGGTTCAATCCCCAGTACCAATAAAATAAAATAATGATGGAACCTCAAATATAAGACTGGGTAACAGTCTCAGTTTTCAGAGTGGTAAAACTTGAGTTGAGTACCACATCTGCCACACTGCAGTTGGATATAACCTATTGTAGGCATTCACTTAGCAGCTCTGAGCCTCTTTTCTCCATCTTCAAACTGGGGATCAGAAAGTGGCACTGTCCGTGAAAGTGCTTTTGTAAGCTATAAAAGTTCACAAAGATTAAGAGGGAAATTTCTCTGGGGACTATTTTGGAAAAATACTCATTTTGGAATGAATTTGAAAGTAGACAAAGGAATAGATCATAAACTAAGGATAGATATTTATTTATATTATCTGATAATAAATGTATTTCCCATGTAATTTAGGTTCTCAGTATGCCACGGATTTTTCAAATGCCAGTACAACTGGACTTTTTGATCCATATGAGGTAAAGATGATTTCTTCTTTCTCAATTGCCAATTTTTGAAAGATTTAGGTGAGGTTGTTTTAGTTTTTTTAAATTAATTTATTATAATTAGTGAAACTTGTATGTGATTATTTTGTACAATATAGTGTTTTGAGATGGTTACGTAGGTTTGAAATGTGTAGATGTGTGTGTTCTGATGTTGTGTTTTCATGCATAGATGTGTTGGAGCAGGCTCATTACCTCCATGATTTCCGTACCACTCTCTCTCCTGCCTCCCGTGAAGGACACCAGGTAATAATGAACATCAGACGTGAAAATCAGCAACATTGTCCTTGAAAGATTTTTGCTTTGTTGGGGAAAAGCATTTTATCACATACCTGAGGTGTTTGTATGTTCATATCTGACTTGTTGGCCTCTGCTGAAAACAGTTTGCTGAATTTTAGAGTTAATATTTCTAGAGCTATAACTAACTTTTTAATCAATCTTATTTGAAGCCACAATTTTGGATCAGTGGATGAAGAGATATTTGGTGTGCCTATACCAATAGTTGCCTTGGTAAGTCCAAAACACGAGGGTTTCTCTTTGTATTGTAGAAACTAAATGAATTTATGAATATTTGGAACTCACTTTAAGAGAGACAGACGTCCTTGGCAGAGTAAGGTCAGAGTAATCTAATGGGGCTGGGTGTAGCTCATGGTGGAGCACTTGACGGGCATGCTCTACCTAGTGTACCCATGTTCCATCCAAGCACCAAAGAAAAATCAGTTAAAGTATCCTTTTCCTTTTCAAGTTCAAGTGTCCTGGACATGAACAAGTATCCTCTGTATTTCAGAAAGGGGACCACTGGACCAGCCTCTGTCATGGAAGCACCTCATGATCTTTTCCAACTTACTTATGTATTGTCTTCCAGAAAGAGTGTGTTAAATTTTTTAAAGATGTATTCTGAGTAATGTGTGGCTTATATTTGATATTATGAGCTAAAAACAATGATGGGGCCAGTGTTTTTATTGGGTACAATATATTCACAAAAGTAATAGAACAATTCAAATTAGAGAAAGTAGTATTTGAGTTTTATAAAATCCTTACCAAGCATCTACTGGTATAAAAGCTGGTGTAAAAAATTTTTAATTTTGTTATTTTTGATTTATAAAGTTCCTTTCATCAGTATATTCTTTTTCTCTAGCTAGATCAAGAGTCAAAATTTGGAAAACCACCAGAATTTGCTACCTGTTATCAGGCTGCAAAGAAACTCAAATGTTGCTTTTTGTTTTCGGAGGCAGCATAAGCAGGAGGCAGAGACTCGGTGTCCCTAGATGGACAGTCTCCATAGTAGCTGACGGAGCAGACGAGGGAAAGGGAATTTAATCCCCAGTTACAGCTTCACGGTCATTTAGGAAGAGTCTTACTCACTTGGGGGTTAGGTTCAGCATTAGATTAAGGTATAACTGGAATAATTTTTTTAAAAAAGGTTATTTAGATGAGTTTTATTTTTTATTTAATTAAGTTTATTTATTTATTTATTGTGTTGAGTCTTGAACCCAGGGTCTTGAACATGCTAGTCCAGTGCTCTGCCACTGAGTTACATTCCCCAGCCCTAGATTAATCTTAGTTTTTAAAATCTTGCCATATAAGACTGGAGAAGTGGCTCAGTGGTAGACATCTTGCCTGGCAAGCATGAGGCCCTTGGCTAAATCCCAGCACCACCACCAAAAAAAAAAAAATTATCCTATAAAGTCAGTTGCATAGGTGCACTTGGAATGGTAAGGCAGGAGGATCACTTGAGCCCAGAATTTCTGGACTAGCCTGGACAACATAGCAACATTGTAAAAAAAAAAAAACTAAAGTAGGATTAGGGATTAGGGCTATTTCTCAGTGGTAAAGTGCTTATCTGAGGCCCTGAGTTCAATAGGCAGCACTGAAAAAAATTTTAATAAATGTAAATGAATAAATATTCCTGTATGTGTGCTATATTTACTTATATTAACAAAATGATATAATTTTCCTACAAAAATATATAGTTGGAGCTGAGTGGCTCCTGTAAAACCAGCTACTCAGGAGCTGAGGCAGGAAAATTTCAAGTTAAAAGTCATCCTGGGCAATTTAGCAAGATCACGTCTCAGGGCTGGGATGTAGCTTAGTGGTAAAGGGCTCCTGTGTTAAATCACCCTGGTGCTGATGAGAAGAAAAAAATACACACACATATATATGGCTGGGAAAGGGATGGTTTTGACTTAGGTCTGTTTCTATTTAAACATTTACCTATCATTCTTTTTTTAAAAATTGTGCTGAGGGTAGAACCCAGCCACTCCTGCAAGTGCTCTGCTGCAGAGCTATATCCTCAGCCGCACCCATCATCCTGTTTTCTTAATATTTATTTTTTAGTTGTAGTTGGACAAATACCTTTATTTTATTTATTTAATTTTATGGGTGCTTGAGGGTCTAATCCAGGGCCTCACACGTGCTAAGGGAGTGCTCTAACACAGAGCCACAACGCCAGCCCCACCCATCATTCTTTTTTTTTTTTTTTTAATATTTTTTAGTTTTAGGTGGACACAATATCTTTATTTTGTTTTTATGTGATGCTGAGAATCGAACCCAGTGCCTCACGCATGCCAGGCGAGTGCGCTACCACTTGAGCCACATCTCTAGCACCCCCCCACCCATCATTCTTAATAAAAGAGAAACTTGTGCAGTCAGTTACTTTGACTAGTGAATGAAAACTCTGTAAGATGAAAATGAAAAAAAAATCAATTTTTTTTCTATACAGTTTTTATTTTGACCTTTACTTCTAAGATTATTTATCTGATGCTTAAAAGTAATGAAGTAGGTTGCCCATTAAAAAATCCTGAGACCAAAAAAAAAAAAATCCCAAAAATAAAAATTACCAAGGCACATTAGTTATGCACATGATGCTAATCCTAGAGAGACTCCTGTAGTTTTTGTTCCCTGTTCTCTTTGGGATGTTATTTTTTTTTTAATTTGAGGAAAATGTGAATGAGAACATAAATATTTAATTGCAAGACTGCAATAAGTGAGGCAGTGAAAAATAATAAAATGGACCACTGCTCAGGGCCGTGGGTCTTACATTTGAACACTTTTGGTAGGTCGGCGACCAGCAATCAGCCATGTTCGGAGAGTGCTGCTTCCAGACAGGAGATGTAAAATTAACCATGGGAACTGGGACTTTTTTGGATATTAATACTGGAAACAACCCTCAACATACTGTTGGAGGTAAATAATTAGAATTTATTCCGGTCTAATATCAGTTTTTATATTCATAAGTGTTTGGTGATCCTTATACTATTTACTCATTTTATGTTAAGAATGATCCAACACATTATTATTCTTAGAAACAATTAATCCCCATTTTCTTTATTTCCTTTAAGTTAGTAACATTAAAAAACAATAAAGGGCCGGGTGTGGTGATGCATGCCTTTAATCTCAGTGGTTTGGGAGGCCGAGGCAGAAGAATTGCAGGTTCAAAGCCAGACTCAGCAATTTCGTGAGGCTGTAAGCATCCTAGTGTGACCCTGTCTCAAAATGAAAAATAAAAAGGGCTGGGGATGTGGTTCAGTGATTAAGCGCCCTTGGGTTCGATCCCTGATGCAAAAACAAACAAAGAACACCCAAGAAAGAGAGTTTAGCATGGTGGTGCACACCTGTAATCTCAGTGATTTGAGAGACCAAGGCAGGAGACTCTCAAATTCAAGGCCAGCCTCAGCAATTTAGTAAGGCCCTAAGTAAATTTGCAAGACCCTCTGTAGCGTTAAAAATAAAAGGGGCTGGAGATGTAGCTTAGTGGTGAAGTATCCCTGGACTCAATTCCAAGTATCAAAACAATAACATCAACCAAAAAAAGTCAGGTGCAGTGACCCATGGCTTGTAATCCCAGTGATATTTGAGAGGCTGAGGCAGGAGGATTATAAATTTGATGCTAGCCTGGGCAAGCAAGACCATGTCTCAAAGTAATAAATAAAACAGGCAAGGGATGTAGCTCAATGGTAAGCACTCCCTGGGCTCAATAACAAGTACTACAAAAGGAGGAGGAGGAGGAGGAGGAGGAGGAGGAGGAGGAGGAGGAGGAGGAGGAGGAGAATCAAAAGATCAGAGTAGTTTGGTTAGCCTTCCAAATATTTATCTGTATTACATGTTATATATAAAACTTTATTAAAGTTCTAAATTTCTCTCTCCTTTTTTTTTTTTTTGGTGGTGCTAGAGATTGAATCCAGGGCCTTGTGTGTGCTAGAAAAACATTCTACCACTGAATTACATCCCCAATCCTAATTGTTTTTCCTATTTATTAAGAATTATTCTTTCTCTGAACTTTTTTGTGATAGTTGTTAACTAGTGATGCATGCATGTGTCAAGTCTTAATGACAGTTGATTTCAGTTACCAAGAATTTGCAGATGTGCAAACAAAGAAATCTAGTTTGTAGAACTATTCCCTGGAGGTCTGGGGCACTTGATTTGGGCTCTGTTTTCTTCACATGGATGCTCAGATCTGTTTTTTAAAATATTTTTTCCTGTCTTCCATGCCTAATCCAGCTGTTCCTTTCTCCCTAACTGGGAAAATGAAAGGTAGAAAATGTTGATCATTATACTCAGCTGTTTCTATGTAGGAGTCTTGTTTGGAAACCAGGGGTAAAATACAGCAGCATAGCTTTCTAGAAAACTGATCTTGTAGTTACCTTTACTTCTCAAAATATTTATTGCCATGCGTCTAGAGGTATAGACAGGCCTATAGCTAAATAAACTAATATTTACGAGCTGAGGATGTAGCTTAGTGTTAGCACACTTGCCTAGTATGCATGAGGTCCTCGGATCAGCCCAGCACCACAAAAACAAACAAACCAAACAAAAGCAAAAAAATCCTAACATTTATTGTTCATGTTATGTGCCAGGTACTGGTCTAAATTCTTTAACTTCTTTTCATGTGTAAACTCAGTTTACTCCTACAGCAGCTCTCTGTCATAGGCCATGTTACAGTGGAGGAAACAGGCTAATAGGTTAGATCACAACTAGTTAGTGAGAGAGGGCTGGAATGTGAATCCAAATGGTCTGACCTAATAGGCACTTTCCTTTTTTTTTTTTTTTTTTAATAAAATTGCATTTTTCTAAGATGGCTAAGATGGCACATGCCTATAATCCCAGGACTTCAGAGACTGAGGCAGGAGGATTGCAAGTTCAAAGCCAGCCTCAGCAATTTAGTGAGGCCCTAAGCAAGTTGAGACTATGTCTCAATAAAAAATAAAGTGGTTAAGTGCCTCTGAGTACCTAAATAAATAAGTAAACAAATCACATGTTCTATTGGAACAGTCTCTCTTTGAGTTGTGTATCTATTAAATGACTTCAATTGTTTGCTTGTTTTCTAAGGCTTTTATCCATTGATCGGGTGGAAAATTGGACAAGAAGTTGTATGCTTAGCTGAAGGCAATGCAGGAGACACTGGAAGTGCCATAAAATGGGCTCAGCAATTAGGTAAGTTGACTTTTAAATGTATTTCGCAGGTCAGACTTAAAGAATTCTACTATGCCACATGATTGGAGATCAGTAGGCAACAAATGGGGTATTTATTTAAATAAAACATTACAGTGTTAGAGTTGAAGAAAATATGGAATGTTTTTATGATATTAAGGTGTTAAAGCTAGGTATTCAGGAACCATAAAGGAAAAGAATAATAGATTTAAGTGTCTAAAGTATCGGAAGTATAGGGAAAAATGTCTTAGGTAAAATTAGAAGACAGGTTAGTAAAAACAATTTGTAGCATGTCAGGAAAACAAATCACAAATAATTGACAAAGGAATACAGGCATTTCATAATAAAATGACCATTATGAACTGTTGCTTATAGCCAATAATCAAAGTAATGCATTTAAAAATATTGCCTTTTGCTGGGCAAGGTGGAGCACACCTGTAATCCCAGCTACTAGAGAGGCTGAGGCAGGAGGATTGCAAGGGCTAGTTTGGGGTGACCTAGCGAGACCATGTCTCAAAATCTGAAAAATTTTTTTAAAAAGGGCTGGGGAACTGTACCCAAAGGACTTAAAAACAGCATAATGCAGGGATACAGCCACATCAATGTTTATAGCAGCACAATTCACAATAGCTAAACTGTGGAGCCAAACCAGATGCCCTTCAGTGGATGAATGGGTAAAAAAAATGTGGCATATATACACAATGGAATTTTAACAGCAATAAAAGAGAATAAAATCATGGCATTTGCAGGTAAATGGATGGCGTTGGAGAAGGTAATGTTAAGTGAAGTTAGCCAATCCCCAAAAATCGAATGTCGAATGTTTTCTCTGATATAAGGAGGCTGACTTATAGTGGGGTAAGGAGGGGGAACATGGGAGGAATAGATGAATTCTACATAGGGAAGAGGGGAGGAAGGGAAAGGGAGGAGGCAGGGGATTAGCAAGGATGATGGAATGTGATGGACATCGTTATCCAAAGTACATGTATGAAGTTACGAATTGGGTGTCAACTACTTTATATACAGAGATATGAAAAATTGTGGTATATATGTGTAATAAGAATTGTAATGCAAAAAACCCCACAAAGTACATGTATAAAGACATGAATTGGCATGAACATATTTTATAAACAAAGATGAAAAACTGTGCTCCATATGTGTAATAAGAATTGTAGGGGCTGGGATTGTGGCTCAGCGGTAGAGCGCTCACCTAGCAAGGGCGGGACCCGGGTTCGATCCCCAGCACCACATAAAAAAAATAAAGGCATTGAGTTGTGTCCATCTACACCTAAAAAATAAATATTAAAAAAAAAGAATTGTAATGCATTCCACTTTTGTGTATTTAAAAAAAAATCAATTAAAAAAAAAAAGGGCTGGGGATGTAGTTCAGTGGTAGAGCATTCCCAGGTTCATTCCCCAGTACCACACATACACACACACACAAAAAAAAAACTACTTTTTTTTTTTTTCCAATTGTCAGTCTGTTAGAGATTAATAAGTTTTATGATGCTCAGCATTGGTAGAAATGTAGAAAAAAAAAGTATTATTATTTTCCATTGGGATGATTGTAATTAGTGTGGCCTTTCTGGAAGATAGCCAGGTAGTATGTAGCATTTTTCAGAGTGCAGACCCTTTGCATGCACTTCTGTTGATTTCCTATAAAAATCATATAGGTGGGCAAAGATGTGTACATATATGGATGTTTAATGTAGTAATTGGAAATAAGTTCTGTACAGTAATAAAGCCTGCAATAAATGTCAGTATATTCATACAGGGCAACAATGTATATTTAAAACATCAGTGTAGTTGCTTTTTTTTTTGGTACTGGAGATTTAACCTAGGGATGTTCTACCACTAAGCTACATCCCCAGCCCTTTTTATTTTTTATTTTGTGACAGGGCTTTGCTAAGTTGCTGGGGGCCTCACTAAGTTGCTGAGGTTAACTTGAACTTGCCATTCTCCTGTCTCAGCACCACAGGTTACTGGGACCACAGGATTTGCCATCTTACCTGGCTGTAGTTGCATATCTTTTTTTTTTTTAATATTTATTTTTAGTTATAATTGGACCTATATTTTTTAATTTATTTTTTTGTGGTGCTGAGGATCGAACCCAGGGCCTCACATGTGCCAGGTGAGTGCTCTACCACTGAGCCACAACCCAAGCCCCATGTAGTTGCATATCCTAATGACATGGACCATATCTGTGATGCATTAAGGAGGTGATAGAGCATTTAAAGGTTAGCCTATATAAGTAATTTTTACTTCGAATTACTCTATTGAGATATTATCCACATACATACAGTGCACCAATTTAAAGTGTACACTCCAACATTATTCAGGGCTTGCGCTCAATTTAATTTAGGAATTAGTAAGCTAATTTAGCTTTTCAAAGATATATTGTATCTAAATCTTATAAAAGTTTAATATACCTTGAGCAATTAAAAATTGATCTTGAGGTTAGGTGTGGTGATGTATGCCTGTAAACCCAGCAGCTCAGGAGGCTGAGGCAGGAGGATTGTGAGTTCAAAGCCAGCCTCTGCAAAAGTGAGGCACTAAGCAATTCAGTGAGACCCTGTCTCTAAATAAAATACAAAATAGGGCTAGGTAAGTGATTCAGTGGCCAAGTGCCCCTGAGTTCAATCCCTGGTACCCCCCCACCAAAAGAAAAAAATTGATCTTGAGTAATTCATGATAATTCTTTCATAATAGAAGTAAAATGATTCTTGATTTTGGGCTGGTTATTTTTTTTTTAAATAAAAAATTAAAAAGCCTAAAAATAAACAAATAAAGTGTTTTTAGAGTGTATATGTGGTGTTACGAACATCACCACTATCTAATTTTAGAATATTTTTATTTCCTGTAAAAGAAACACCCTACCCATTAGTAGCCCTGATACCATTTTTATCCTGGTCCTTCTCACCATAGCCCTGAGCTACCATTAATTTTCTTCCTGTCTGTGGATTTGCCTGTTTCAGGCATTTCATACTGATGAATTGTATCTTATGTAGTCTTTTGTTACTGACATCTTCCACTAGTGTATTTTCAAGGATCACATGTGCTATAGAATATATTAGTACTCCATTTCTTTCTTTCTTTTTTTTAATAATTTTAGTTATAGATGGACATAATAATACCTTTATTTTATTTCTTATTTTTATGTGGTGCTGAGGATCTCAGACCCAGTGCCCCACATGTGCTAGGCAAGCTCTCTGCCATTGAGCCACAACCCCAGTCCCTCCATTTCTTTCTTTTTTTTTTTTTTAGAGAGAGAGAGTGTTTTAATATTTACTTTTTAGTTCTCGGAGGACACAACATCTTTGTTTGTATGTGGTGCTTTTTTAAATTATTTTTTTAGAGACAGAGAGAGAGAGAGAAATTTTTTTCTTAATATTTATTTTTTTAGTTTTTTCGGCAGACACATCTTTCTTTGTATGTGGTTCTGAGGATCAAACCCGGGCCGCACATACCAGGCAAGCGCGCTACCACTTGAGCCACATCCCCAGCCCCCCTCCATTTCTTTTTATTGCGGAATAATATTCTATTGTATGAATAAGCCATAATTTATTTATCCATTCATCAGCTGTTGAAACTTGGGCTCTTTCTCTGCATTTCGTCTTTTATGAATAATGAACAGCTTGTTATAAAACCATATTTCCTTCATAAAGCATAGAACATTATATACCAAAATATTAATAATGCTTATAAGTAATTTAATTATAAGTAATTTACATAATTGCTGAGAGCCATAGCTGAGTCGGAATGACGCATGGCATTTTTGCCAGAACAGAGTGGTTGAGAGGTGATGCCAGCAAGCCATTGAGATGATGACGGTTATGTTAAGCGGTGTATTCAATTGCATGTTAGACCCCTGCTGTCCAGCTTGGCCTGCTACTTTGGAGTTCTCCTGCTACTTTGGAGTTCTCCAGGGGATTCCCGGAGAGTTCCCATTGGTTGGGGAAGTGCTGGAGGAGGGATTTTCCAGAGGAGGGATTTGCGGTTGGTGTGTGGTGGCCCGTATGGGAACAAACCCGCGACCTTGGCGTTATCAGCACCAAGCTCTGATGAATCCAAATTTAAAAAGTTTAGAGTAAAAAGGGTTATTTTAAGTTTATCTTTGGGGGATATATACCCCTTTCCACATAATTATGAGTAATTATAATTAAATTATGGTGCAACTTTGACTTTATTCTCTGCTGATTGGAACTGAATTGATTTGTTTGAAGAAAAAATATCTATTGGCAGAAAACACACTCCAGGAGGAAAATGCCAGTTTCTTCCTTTCTCTCTTTCTCTTTTTCTTTGAGCCTGTACCTCATTATATGCATAAGATTTCTTATTAACCAAACAACATTTATTTCAAAGCTCTTTATTATTTAAATGTTGCTTCCTTCTTAAATGTGTTTCTCCTAATATTCTAGGCACATGTCTTTAATAACTCTAGATTATCAAAAATAAAAAAATAGTTTACATATTTCATCTCTTTTAGTTATACCTTTTATTACTTGTATTCCTTTGCAGAAGATGCAAATAGTTGATTTCATACTCATTGGTTAAAAACTACTACTCATTCCTGAGTTTCATGGGCACATTATCCAAGGGAGTCATTTCCATCGCTTAGGTGAATCCAGGCTCATTCATTGTGATTCAAAATGCTTAAAAATGCTTAGGGGTGGGTGGTTGCAGAGCAGTGGCGCATGCCTATAATCCCAGAAGCTGAGGAGGCTGAGGCAGGTGGATCACAAGTTCACAGTCAGCCTCAGCAAAAAGTAAGGCACTAAGCAAGTCAGTGAGACCCTGTCTCTAAACAAAATACAAAATAGGGCTGGGGATATGACTCAGTGGTAGAGTGTCCCTGAGTTCAACCTCTGGTACACACACCCACACACACACAAAAAAAAATGCTGAAAAATCTTCTCTGGGAGGTGGAGCCAAATGACCCTGAATTTGAGGAGGGACCTGAATTTCTGAGGGAAGCACAGGCCTTCCTGAAAGTCAGTTCCATCTCT